ACATAATTTGAGTATATAACTTTTTTACTGGAACTGAACCAATATTAATGTTCTGTAATTGGAAGACGAGTAGTCGCTTTGTTCTGGATTGTCCATTATGAAAATCAGCTGAATTTTCGAACTCGTTCCAACAATGTATTCGTTTAAATCACATTCAGTGGTATTGATATTAACTCACATTTTGATCATACTTGCTGCGAGAAATGAGTACTTTCTACTAATAATATTATTAGTTGAACAAATTATAGTATTATCATCGATCACATATTAACAATTATATATAATAATAAGAGTACTAATGGAACATTTCTTGTTAACGCTTAATTATTATTTTCAACTTCATGAGTTAACCAAAATGAACAGGATTTACAATCACGAATGTTTACAGTCGTAAATAATTACTGAGGTTCATTCATTAATGACATTCTCTTTCGGTTCATCGTCAATTTCAAGCACATATATTTCTTATCTTATGTCGTTCAGATATAAAATTTTAGATGAAACAAAAGCGAAACTGGACTTAAGAATGCATTTATTTTACCGTCGTTTGGATTCATAAGGGAAAAAAATTTCAAAAAACTTTTGACATATCTCTCTCAAAAGCGCCTTCTGGGTTGAAAACAGCGTTTATAAAATCTATCCTGCAATGAATTAGTGGGAAAGGCCGCTTGTTTGAAAGATCCATTTTTCGACTCGAGCGTCAGAGCGCTCAGTGTACGCATATACATGTAAACAATGTTTATGATGAGCTGAAACCTAAATTACCTTCCATTTTATGCCGAGAAAATGAGAAGTTGAGTAAAATAATTAATTAAAATGTGAAAGAGGCTGAACGACAAAATTATTGATAAACCCCAAGAGCAGTGAACAATAGATATCTTGAGCATATAATAATCCGATTATAAAATTTCATTACGTTAAAAGGTCAAAAAGTTCAAAACGGTTAAAAGGTCACTGATTGAAAAGATATTTGCATGGGAGTTTCTCATTGGTGGGATTTGGAGAATAGACTTTGAAACCGGGAAAATCAAAATCGATCGACATTTTTCTTTATACATCATGGTTTTCGGGACGACATATGCAATATTTCCGACAGGCTGATGAATTCACCTGAAATGGATCAAGTTTTAGAAAAGAAAGCTTAAAGAATGCAGGGATATAGATGAAAAATGAAAACCAACATGAATAAGGAGATGTGTGGAATGGTGAGCTTAGAACAGATATTCTTCATTCGTTCAGAATCGATTGAATCGTTTCAGATGTGCGACGGCCATCTGAAAAAGTGCTCGGCGTTGTTGAAGTTTCTTCTGGAAGGGTGTTAGCGAGACGCGTCGAACGGGTACCAAAGGCTTGAATTGCGCCACAACTGTGGGAACATGGAAGAGTGCGTTTCGGTTCATCGCAGAGACGTGTCTGCGTTTTGACTGCGAATCGGCAGGTAGTGAAGTCTCATGTGACTGTGCACGTTGTTCAGCAGCACTTACATCAGTACTCTGAGGCTGTTGCATTCTGGACGAAGAAGAAATAGGATGGATATTCAAGTGGTCAGCTTCACCTTGCCAAGCAACTTCATCCACTTCATTTCCACTTCTAATCGACTCCCATAAACCGCTGTTATGTGCTAACGGCGGTACAAGCTTATGTGCTCTTACGTCACTATCAACAGATCTTTTAGGCTCTTTTTCAGTGCCCTTTTTAACTTCATTATTCGTCAATCCCTCAGATTCATTCGCAGTGCCTTTGCTTGGAGCGGCAGGAGCAATCTGTTCAACAATTTTCTTTTCTTGAGCAGGAGGTTGTGTGTTGGTTGCATTACCGGCACCATTCAATGCTTTTATCGGATCAAGTGGTACAATCTGTTCGGTTCCTGGCCCGACGGGAAGTGGTATATATGTTTGTGGATCGAATGCTTTTTCGGCTTGTTCATGCAACATTTTCTGGATACTTTCATTGACTTCGTTCAGATCGTTCGGGTTCGGCTCTTCAGAAGGGTCTTTATTGTCACCA